CTAAATATGAGGAGGATTCAAATCTTAAATGTCCGGTATGCCTGGAAGTTTTGAAGAAACGGCAGCCCAAGTCAACCAGATGTGGCCACATCTTCTGCAGCGAATGCATCGACACTGCCCTGGAATTTTCGCACAAGTGTCCTGTTTGCAAAAAAAGGGTTTTGAAAACACACGTTTTTAGAATATATCTTTAATGCTCTCATAATAAAATGTTTTTTTTAAAGGATAAACCACTTGGATGTCACTTTCTGGTGATAAAATATTTATTGATTTATGGCTCTTTATTGACCATTTAAATGATTTATGCAGTGCGGTTTGCACATAACTCGTAATTGAAATGCAAAGTTTGAAAAAAAAAGTTTGCGATAAATTCATTTTATCTCCGGACCTGCCACTTGCCATTTATTTAGCCAACAATTTTTGCCTCTATTAGGTTTCGAGTAAATTTTCAAAATGGTTGAATTTTCGGTGCCAAGGCAGCCGAAAAGTATGCAACAGCTTTCGCCCCCGACTGCGGTGGTGGAGGAAAATATTGCACATACGACCTGTCAGCCCAAGCCGACAACATAAAATGCAACAAAATGGAAGCGCATAGCTAGAGTGGAAAATGCCTCACATGCATAGCAAAACACACACTCACAGGACAACCACTCCAACTTGCAACGAGCGGCAGCCACCTGCTGCAACATTGTAAATTACATCCTTCGGGCTGAGACAGGAATTACAAGCTTTTTGCGCTGAATCGTGGGCCGCATGGCAAGCAGATGGCACCGACGGCTCTTCCCTTGGCCTTGCTAGGGATTCCAAAGTTGGCGATTTGTGTGCGCGGGTCCTTGAAGTGGATTGTAGAGTTAACCATCCGCATCGGCAGCGTTCTGCGGGGCTTATGGACTCACGACCTAGGCAAGAAGCTGGCGTTTTGTTTGCATTTGCTGTGATTTTATCGCCCATTCAATGGAACGATTTATTTAAGTGGTTTTCAGTTAGAAACTTATTTTAAACATGTGTTCTTGCACTTTTTATTTTAGGGTGAAAGTTTAGAAAGTAATAGGAGTGCTAGAAGCAAAAATCATCTCCCCTGATTGCAAATCCCAAGCAAGCACCAACTTTGTTTCCCAGATTTGCTGCTTCAGTCATCACCATCTTTATCTCGAAGATATACTTCATACTTATTACAGCACTGTTCCATCTCATTTCTTTCTAGCAGGTAAGAGCAAGTTCTCCGACGCGGGAAATCAACACCTAGCCGGAAAGAATAATGGCAGGCGGTGGATTCTTGGTCGCAAAATGAAAGGGAGTCTCATCCAAACAAATTGGCGACAATAGAACAACGGAAACGGAAACAATGAAAATGTTCTCGTAGCCACAGCAGAAGCAGCAGAATTTGCTAATGGCCACCCTGAAGGGGAAAAAATAAAAAGACTCCTGTCAGGACATTAATCAAGGTGCAGTCAATGTGAACGGAGCCTTTGGCCATACTTTGGTGGCATCCCCAGCACTCTGGCCTGGGCAACCAAATTGGCAACAGAAGCTTGAGGTGGCAGACGTGTCCTTGGCCAACACTAAGCTAGACCCTACGGGGCACGTATTCTTCTAGTTTCTCACTCACTTTTTCCCTATCCTGGTAAAAAGCATCTCTCCGGCACAGCTGCCTATTTGTTTTTCTGTGCGTGTCTCTGGCACGATGCTCGTAAATAATGTCATGGCTAAGACAAAAGCCGAAGAAAGTCAACAGTCTGCTGCCGCTGACACAGGCAGAACTCATTTAACTGCCCTGCCTGATATGCTCTGCTTCGGTTGACACTTTCTGTGGCCATTTCTTGTTACCTTTTCATTTAGGCCCAAAGGCACGCAAGTCAATCAGCTATTAGCCCCAAAACGCTTAAGCTTTCAATTTCCGTAATGGCCGAATAGTGTGTGAAATCCCGAAAGGTGTCCATAGCACGTTTTTAGCTTAAAAAGGGAAAAAGTTTATTTTTAGAAGGAAGTGATAATACTCTAGCCGTGACCAATATCGATTTTTGTTTAAATTTTTAAGCCTGTGGGGAGATGATATTCTGTAGCAGTTAAGCTTTAAACTTCCTTGGTAATGTATCCCTTTTGTGTAATTTATCGTTCCTCACGTACTGACCAGGGCTAAAAGCCATACAAACTACGTGGAACACTTGGCTCCGAAATCGATTAAGAAAAATCCCCCGCAGACAGGGATATTGAATTTACAATGACTTGCCATCAATTCGGCATTAGTTAAACGATGATTTCTTCTATCTATTGGCCCGAGAAATCTGGAACCCTCGCCGAAAATCAGTGCCATCAAATGCCAGATCTCTATCCACAAATCTGGAGTTGTAATGTGCATATTTTAGCAATAAAACGCTGACACTGCTCCAGGGCGCAAATCCACTGTCAGAGCAATTTGCATACATCTCGGTATTGTTGCTTTTTTTCCCTCGACTTTATCTTTGGGGGCCAATTTCGCGAATACTTGCCCCTATCTTTTTTTGTATCCAGACATGGGGAAATGGGTTGCCATTTGGGGCATGTGGCATGCAAATGTGGCATGTAAGAGGATCGTCTATTGTCGGGCATATTTCGTCTTCTTTTGAGTGGCATAAATCTCATATTGGCCAGACCCCAGGCTCACCCACAGGCGAATGATGAATGCAAGCTCATGAACAGGCAGAATGGTGAGAAATGGTAGCCGCATAATAAGCCAGACACAGCCAACAAAATGCAGATACGTATGGCATATAGCTACAAATACAGCAACAGCACCAGCAGATACAGATACAGAATGCTGAAATGTATGCCATTTCTCAGAGGTGTGTGTCCTCGGAATTTCTCATTTCGCATGCAAGTTGCATTCATTTGAATTTCTATTTGTCGGATTCGCTTCGGTGGTGACAGTTTTCTTTTTATGCAATGGAATTATGATGTATAGCACATACTTACATATGTGCCACATGTCTTCCGGAATTCCAAATAGAAACGTATGCTCGGATTGCTGCTAAAGTATGTTTAATCCTGGCCCAACCCACCAACTATCTTTGTCATTTTAGCCCTTAACTATTTGGTGTAATAAACCACTTCCGACAAAGGTTTGACTTTTTGATTTTTTTTTTTATTGCAGACCAACCCTCATGGCCCCGAAATTGGTTTGTTTATCTCACGTTGGCCAACCTTTATTCACAGTCGAATCAATTTACAACTTTTCAGTCAATCACAAACCAATCAGAGTGCAAAATATGAGCACAATCACATCAAGCCAATTGCGGGCTCTATGGCACACTTAGTAATACACAAAAAGAAAAATGACTGCAATAAACATAAGTTACAAATTTATATTTCCCATAATTGATATTAATATTAACTATTTGGAACTAATTTAATTTTTTGATAATATATTTTTGAGTAAAAATGTTACATCTTATTCGCATGAATGTTTTTCAAAGTTGACTAATTTAAATTTAATATTTTTGTAAGTTTTCAAAACGTATATGATTTCTTTAAAAAAATATTCAACAAAAATCGTTTGTTTAATTGTTAAAATTATAAAATATATTTAATATTCATTTTATAAAAAAAAAAACATTGGATCCTTTCCAATTTTCAAAGTTAAGAGAGGTGTTTGTACAATACTATTTCTTTCAGTAATTTCCATAAATCTTAAATTCGAAATGGATTATTTTGTAGATCCTATTAGATAACATTTGTTCGTAAAAGTTCTTTAGAAAGTGTGATTTTCTAGATTTCCCTTTTAAATTTTTTTTTCAGTGCTACGATAGAGGTTCACTTGGGACTCTTTGTGGCTGGGACTGGATGGCGGCGCCATCAAGAGGCAACCAGGCAGCGATGTTCAACCGGCATGGCAGCTGAACAAACAACATCAACAACAACAAATGGGGGGCAACAGATTGACAGAGGCGCCGGATAAACGGGGGGATGAGGACGGATGGATGGTGGGTCTGAGGGCGCACTGAATACCGTTTCATCGACACTTTTTCATTGAATTCAATTAAAAGCGAAATTGAAAATTGAAATTCAATTAAGATGCTATAAATACGAGGGTGTGAATGGGCGGGAAGAGAGGATACAGTAAAAGCATTCCTGGATAGAAAGGACCTCCCACACACACACATTCCTCCCACACACACACGCACAGACAGAGTCACAGCAATGATGATAGATGAGCTGCCAGTAAGTGCTGGTAGTGGATAAAGGAGATTGAAAATGGTCCTGAAATCGATCGGTATTGGTGGGGTAGCGCCACAACAAAAAAAGAACAAGGCACAAGGATATGTGACAGAGGTTTTTTTTTTTAATTTTATTTTAACTTACTCTTCTGTCTGTTCTTTTTTCCGACATTTAATGGGCCATCAACACTGCCTTACTCAATTTGATGACGGGATATTAATGACAAATAAATTGATGCTGCAATCAATCAAAGAAAAATTAAACCACCATATGGTTGGACAGAAAAAATGAAGCATCAGAGAGCATAACTCACTAATCGGATTAGTGTCATAATTAGAGTTGAGTAATTACGTTCGTGAGTAAGAATAAATATTAAATATAATGAATTATTTACTCTGGTGGTTTATTTTATGTTCAGGAATTTAAAAGACTATTTTCCTACTAGATTGAAATCATAATTTGTGAGCCGGCAGCTGCTTTCAATTAACACATTAAACAAAGGACGAAGGGCAACCAGCCAAAGGAAGTGCAAAAAAGGCCACAGGACTTTTTTTCTGAAGTTTCGCCAACGCAAAAGTTTCTGGGTAGAAGGAGGCGGAAAACTTTCCTGAAGAAGATGGACTTTACTGACCCAAAACCAGGAAAAAGGGATCCCTGACGATTGAATTATCCCCCAGATTGTGGGGGCAAGTTTCATTCCAAGCTTAAATATTCAAGAGGTCTTTTTTAATAGTCTTGCCAAAGTTCAAAGTTATTAGAATTCTATGTCAAATATGAACATTTTTTTTGTTTTTCCAGCTGCGAACTTCAATTTTTAATGCCATTGGCAAAAAAATTTATTCAACCCAAATGCTGCTTTTGCATATCCCTGACATCTGGATGCATTATAGTATCGTTTTATACTTTATTTTTTGGATTCCTCAATGCAGGGATCTTGGTTGATGATGTCCTCTATAAGAAAAGTAAGTATTTCTTAAGCCTGGCTAAGGGTCAATTAATATACGATAAATTTCACCAGCCGGAAAGACGGATCCATGGACGAAGTGGTTTAATATATGTCACGTGGCCCTCAATATTCTGTCTGCTGTTATACTTCTGTTATCAATTGTGACGGTAGGATAGTGATTTTAAGCCCCTATTCCTAATTTAAATATTTTGTTTTCTATCTCTAGAAATATGTTTATTTTGTATTTGTTTGGATGGCAATGTTCATTTTACACATGATCGCATACTACATAGCGTTCCATGCTATAGTAAATGTCCGCATGCCCTTTTTTAATTCCCCAGTTACTGGATCCATATATGTCCTTTTCATGTGCCTTACACTTGGTAATGTATTAAATTTAAACTTTATAATTTTGGTTAATTTTGTATCGTTGCAGCCATTGATATATTCTGCGTTTACACGGTATACTGTTATTATTTTGTTACGACACATCCGAAGGATTTTCGACCGCCCTGTGCTGATAATAAGTGAGAATAAAAGAACATCCTAGCAACTCATCAAAATAAGTTTGTAAATTAACATTATCCTTGTCTAATAAAGATTGTAATGCCAATGCGAAGTTAACGCGTTCTGCTGTGTTAATATGGCAGACTCAATTTTCTTTATAATTTCATTAGCATCTTGATGGAAGTTGAAAACGATTCCACCCCAGCCCACACACTCTGTTCGGGTGGGTGGCACACACATGTACGGGAAATTCTGGGCTAATGCTAATGAGGCCATAATATAAATTGCTTAAATTGAAATTATGCAAAAAAGTTAATACTCCCCACATCAGCTTCGAGAGGATAATGCCTTCAGAGGAGCAGACGACCGGAGTAGCAGGCAATTTTCTTAAAAACTTCATCGCAAACAGCTGGGACAGCAATATAACAAAAATTGTTCTAAACAAATAAATTACGCATACGCTATGGAGAGCAGGAAGAAAGAAAAATAATTCCTAACAGAATATATATCTTTCTCTAAGATAAAAAAAAAAATCTTAGTTATTTTTGCATTTTGTGTCAAATCTCTTAGAATCTCAAATAAAACATTATGACTCCGGCCAGAAGATGTTGCTTTTGTCTTTCACTTCAATTAGGATGCATTGTGATATTCTTATTTGGATTATTTTTTTCGGTTGTGCATATTGACTACGTTTATTCACTGATAAATAGTAATTATATTTCATTTTGTTTTTTTTTTAATTTACGTTACGATTTTTATTTTGTTAGGAAATGACAGAATGGGTAAAAAATTTGCAGGTAAAATAAATAAATATGTTTTACTTTTTAATCTCAAGCTTCCCATTTTCCAGGGAAAGTAATATTAAGCTTTTTGCAAATGACTCCATATCTTTTGAGCTTCGTATCTGCTTTTTTACTATTTTTTTCCATTCTATCGGTAAGAAGTAAAAAAAAATGAAAAGATAAACATTTTAAATTATATTTTAGCAATATTCTTGCCTGTTTTGGACTACGCTTGTCTTTCAAGCCATCGATGCTCTCTACCTTTTAATTTTTAGCATTATTACATCATCAATGGGCTTAAATATAATAATAAATGAAGACATGACGCATAATATCCTCTATTGGGCTTATGTAATCTTATGGATAGGTAAGATACAATGATATCATGAATAATAGGAATTAAATTTGGATTTTCTGCAGTTTTAACAGCATACTTTATGTATATTACTTATTCCTATTATCGAAAACTCAAGGCACAACAAGATGAACGTGATGCAGTCTGAGTCTAATAATGGTAAAAATTATCTTATTGTTATTCAAATCTTTTAATCGTTTGTTCAACGATTTATTACCCAGTGTTTAAAGGATCGCTAAAGCATCAAAACATCGTAAGGCTCCACAACTTTAAAACTGAAAACTTGAAACGCCCTGCTTGGGAAAATCTAAGGAATTCCTTTTCTATTCCTTTTTTGTTTTTTTAGAAAATAAAAATACATTTTTCTTGTTTTTTAACACAAACGTTTTTTTATGTTTTGAGTCCCGCTAAAAGTAGACTGGTTCAAATATTTCATTACATTTACAAAAATATTCCGAAATTTAATGAATGTCTGCATTAATACTCTATGTATTTCTTTTTCTGGTACTAAGCACACCATGGGTTAGGGGTGATAATACTACCATATCTTGTAAGTTGTAACCAAGGTCATATTATTTAGTTTGATACCGAAGTTTATATATAGCTGATATTTCTATTTCATTTCCCGTCTGTGGAAACTGCGAAGAATTGGTCAATATACATGTAGGTAGCGGTGGCCTTTGCCATTATGAAGATGGCTTGTCTCTCGTTCGAATTTTTGAAAGTGAAAACAATTCAAAACCCGAATGCATACCCCGCATTTATGATCTTTCGCGTATGTATGATTCCTATAATGATACATCTCCCTATTAATAAAAATTATTAGGTGCTATAAGGCACTTCTGTTGCTTCTGGTCACCGGAATTGGGATGCTCGATGCTGATCGGACCATTATATTACGAACGTTTCGAACTCAAATGCGATCAGTGCGTTCCAGTTTGCACAAATTTTTTATCTAGTGTAAACTCGAGCGCCCAGGTCTTGATAAATATTACTCTACTTATCCTGGCCCTATCCTTGATTTCTGTTAGATGATGGCACAGTCTGATGTACTACAAGTACTTCCAAGACACAATTTTAACTTTTTCTTGGTACAATTATGTTTTGGGATTAATTTGTGGTAGATCATACTTTGCTTTCGTCTTTTGACTTTTGACCTAACCCTGGCAACGGACACAATTAATCAAAAATTAATAGTAAAAGCAACTGTTTCATCATCTTTATTATTACTATGAACTGGGCCGTGGAGGGCGGTGAATTTAATTAAAGCCACAAACGTGCGACGGGCCACAGAAATGAGGTGGGCCCGCTACGGATGTTATCGTGACAAGCCCAAATTAAGTAGCGCGGGCTTACATCAGCCAGAGTTATCCAGGACTATCCTGGGGTTGGGCTGGCAATTCAATTTAAAGACCAAACCACGGCAACTGGTGAAACTTGCCCAAAGCCGGCCAAGAGATGAATGGTGGACCTGCCTGGGGCTCTTTAAATAGCCCAAAAGCTTAGCTTCGAAAAGAAAGAAAAATACAGTCAAGTTTCCTTCTAAAGGAGCAGGTTTTATATTGAATTATAATTATATTGGATTATATTATATATTTGAAAATAAAATATATGAGCTTCCCAGTTATAAATTCTACTAAATTGATATCCTAAATTATTTCCCTTTTAGTTAAAAACATTCTCTTTACCCTTGCCTCACTGTACAAGTAGAATTTCCCTTTGTGAAACTAATTTGATTCAAGTAAGAATTTGGAGACTCAAGGATCTGGATTTTCACACTCACCCGTCGTTCCGTTTTCCTGTTCACTCAAATCCGCCAAAGAGGCTGACAGGGCCTCAGCCATTTTGGCTGCCGAGGAAGTGGTCGTCATGGTCCTTGGCTGAGATGCATTTCCGTCGCTTTTCACAATCAGATTCGTTGCACTTGTACCGTTTTCCGTTTTCGCAGTTTCCGCATTATGTTTTACCATGGCGGAATCCTTCGGGGCTGGGGAGGGGATTGGAGATGGTGTGAAATCCACAGCCTACGGCTGTGTGCTCAGATTGCCCTACCCAGGACGAAGAACTCCGAAGTGTCTGGGTCCTCGCGGGTGAGCACTTGTTGCCGCCCGACTTCCTTGCTTCCTTTCTTGTGGTGCGGAAATCAGGAAAAAACGCTCTGTAACGGAAGAGAGGAGTAATGGTTGAGTTCCTTCCGTCAAATGACACTCAATTATGTTCTTTTATGTTCATGAATATTAAAAATCATTTTTATAGTGAATAGGCATAGAATCTTAAGATTTTTTGTAAGACAGTACTAAGTGTTATTTAATTTGTTAAAGATTGGTTTAAACTTTAAATGTAGTTCCATAACCTGGTTCTCAGTAATTGTTAGTATAAAGAAAACGCATGTCTGAGAGTGTCTATGCTGCAATTAGAAAAGTTTTCAGCCCTACAGACTTCAAAACAAAAGTAACTTTTACTTGAACAAGATAGAGAGACATTACAATGGTGTATATATGTATATAGGGAAGAGTTGTATGCCCTAACAATTAAATACAAATTTATATTTTAGGATAAATATTTTTTTTTACAAGTGAAAATGGTTGAACAAAATGTTTAGTTTTACTTTTGTTTTTGAAAAAATAAAGTTGCATATAGGGTATTACAGACTCTTCAGCACCTGTCCTGAAAGGCAAAAACATCAGTATGTCAGGCAGACTCAAGTGAAGTTCTCGCATTTCCTTAAGGCATGCGACACTCCTTCAGGGTCCCCTCCTCCTCTATTCCACTGCCTTTTCTAACTGAGACAAGAACAAAGTTTTTCTGCTTTTGTCAAAGTCACCAAACTAACTACACTTTGGCGCCGGCGTTGTTCATTCAAGTTGTTAAAAGTTTCAGCTACCTAGAACTGCTCACTGTTTTCGCTTCGCAGCTTCACGGTTGCATCTTTTGGCCAAGTTAAATTGTCCCAGTTTAATGTTGAGTGTCACCCCAAAAGATAAAAGGAATTGTCTGATATCGTATCCAAAACAATGAACTAAATACGATCCATGGGAATGAGATTACTCTTCGGTTTTATAACCCAAAAGTGAACATTATTGTAAACAGCAGCCCTGGGATTTATTTATTATTATTGGGGTTTTTAAAATTTGTTTACAAGATGGAAGATATATTTTCAAAACAAAGGGCAAGTGGTATTTTTGGAGAACATCTTTCAACGTTGAAGTAAGAATCATCTCAAATTAAGTTTTTTATCTAAAAATTTCCATTATTTCTTTTTCTATTTTAAGTTCTAGTTTTCTTTGCTGAATAGTTTGTAATAATCGTAATCCAGTTTGCCCAATTTTCAAACTTTTTTGATATTCCCATTTATCTTGACCTTGCTCTCTAGATGGTACCCATAATAGCGCCGTTGATAAGCCTCAAGTCCAACTAGAATTCATTGTCATTTTCACCTAAGTTTCGTTGCCGGACCATTGGGGGGCATTGTGTGTGCGTGTCTCGGAGCTGGCCACTTGTGGATTTTTTTCGCATTTTTAAACAGGCGACAACAAGCGAACGGCAACCACGCGTTTGACCCATGACCCCCTGAAGGCAAACACAAAGAGACACAATAAAAAATAAAAGAAGAGCACTCGCGTAAACTACTCATAAATAAATATATGGAGATCCATTGTTGCTTTGCCGCATTTAGCAGCTTTTTTTTTTGTTATTATTATTTTCAGAATTGTTTTGTTTGGTTTTGCGCGCCGGTTCGTGCTTTTGCTTTTTTTTTTTTTGTTAAAAAAAAGGGGGTTTTGTTTACGCTTCGCCATTTTTACCGAGAGGGGTGCTTCAGTTTAGTGCAGCCGAAGCAAAACCATCACGGGTGGAAAAATAAAACGGATCCCAAATAAACAAACAAAACGTTTTGCCAGTTACTTAAATTCATACAAATATTAAGTTCAAGTTTGTTTATGATTCCTGGCAAAAAATTTAATTGCAAAAATATGTATTTACAGAGGATTTAGTTTTGTTTATCGTATAGAAAGGGGGCCAGCCCTTTTCATAACAAAAACACAAAAAATAGGGTCAATACTTTTCTTATTTTTTGTAGAATCCATCACAGACCCCCCTTTTAGTGCGCTGCATTTAATTTCCTCAAGTAAACATTTTATAAATTATCTGCAGTTTAGAAATAAGCCATAAATATGGCTGTGCAATGTGCATTTCCTTGAAAATCCGCTCTGCTTTGCTCCGCTATATTTTTATAGCCAGACGGCGTACGTGGCGGATGAGCAATCTCATTCGCACTTACTGGCATTTTTCAGTTTTTCGTTCTGTTTTTCAAAACCAGGCACTGCCAGCGAGGGCGTAGCTTTCTAGTCAGCCAATTATCGTAATTTTTTTTGCATTTAACTTATTATCATAATTATCATTTTGCTGAATTGGTGAGCCAAGCAGACAGGGTTGGGTACGGAAAACTCATAAATATTCACATTCATAAAATATATACATATACCTCGCTGTTATATTCATTAAAAAAAGAGAACAATAATGTTTGGGAATATTTTTAATTTGGCAAATGTGACGTTCTCTGTTTGGTAGCCTCAAGCATTTATCTTCAAAAAATCCCCATGTCCCCATCATTCTTGCTCGCAGCTACCACCATATGTGTGGGTTCTTACTTGGTTTCATTTAATAAACATTTTTATATGGCAGAAAGTATTTTCCCAGAGAACCTTGCATTCTTTTAGCGATGAGCTACCAAGTGTTTTGTGTTTGTTGTTTGAAATTGATTAAAGTAGCCCCCAGCCATCCATCCATCCATCTATCCAGTCATCCAGCTTTCCAGCAATCCAACGCCTGTTCCCCAAACACTCGTACACTTGATTGAATAACCGCGAGTGCAAGTGTTTGTGTATATTTTTATTTCGTATCTGTATCTTTCAGTACGTATAGTACAATATATATGTATATGCGAATATGTGTGTTTGTCTGTTTTTTGTATCTTTGACTTTGATCGCGCATGATTAATGATTACGCCCGTGTTTATTGCCTTTGCCACTCCTAGAGGGTGATAAAAGTTTTCTTTTCGGCGCTTCGGGGGATTCTGATGCCTGGCGTATTTCTCTCATATTTCAGCCTTAGCACTTCTTTTTGGGGACTGGGGATTGGGCATGGTTGTGTCTGTGGTTTGTCATCATTCATATATAATTTGACAAACTTTCTACATAACGTCCATCAGAGATTAAATTATTAAAGATTAATTCGTCAGATACATAAATTATTATATTTGTATATAATATTACTCATAATATAGGTCCGTTTTAATTACGCATTAAAAGAATAA